GGGACTTGTTAAAACTGCATTCTCGACAGTTGTATGCAGAAAGTCATCTAAAAAACACGTTTACATGGTCATTTTTTCTTCGTTACTTGAATGATGCTTGATTTGAATTGATTTTGATTTATTAAGACATTCATTAAGAATCTACATACTCACATATATGAAATCGATACAACATTGCTTCATTACTTCTAATGAACATATGATAATCATTGCTTGAACGTAAATATCTTTCCTCGTCTGCATATGCCATAATCAGCTTATCAGTATCATAAACATCTATTCTGTGCATCGTGGGATTCCACATAATTACAAACGATCGCCATTCACTTTCGGACAGTGGTGTGTGCTGTATTAATTATAAATGCGGCATAAAGATCTGACGATTTTTTTACAAATTTACATTTTCAAAGATCTTGTTCTTGGGATGATGTTGCAAATGATAGCGTAAATTTGTTTATTTTTTCATTCGCGATATGCTTCAAAAATGTTTTTATTACACGTAATGTAAAAGAACAATGTAAGTTAAGCAGAAGAAATATGATATACATATACTTACATTGAAAAAAGCTAGCGGTGTCTTGCAACTTCCTACGGGCCATTTTCCGGGTACAGGTATTCCTGTTGTGCACTTTCGTATGACGGACATTTTATTGTTCCAACCTCCTATTATAATCCAATAGCAAGAATCTCTGATATAATTCTGACTGTTGCAAATTAATATATGTGCATCGTGAGAGACACGAATCGAAAAGGATATCTTTACTTCGGTACTAAGATTAAAATCTACATAATTATAATTAGTATCTTGAAGATTATCATATTGTTGAAATTCTGAAAATTTTATATTTGTGTTATTGAAAGCTGTAATGAAAGATATACTTTGTTCTTGTAACATTTCATATTGCATTCTACGTATATCACAATCTTCTCTCAAAGCACAATATTTTTACCTTCCCATCGCTGATCAAATACCGGACCCATAGGTGTTTTTAAAGAATTTGTAAGAGTCCAGGTCTGTTTATTCCATGACTCCAAGCAGTCTTCGTTTGCATCCATTTTACAATTGATCTCATTACTGTTGGGATCATTTAAATTCTGAAATTCTGAAATAATGCGCGCGTCTATAATGAATACATTACTCAAATAAATGTGAAGATATTAAATGTTATATAAATGAGTTTAGAGATAACTAACTAAATTTTGATAAAAATGTTAGTATATATGTAAAGCAAAGAAAATAATTTTTTGTAAAATCCTCAAGTATATTTTGCTTTACAAAAATGAATCATTTTGATTAATTAACTTACGCAAATTGTTTTTTTCAGGAGAATACCATTTCCAGATTAAATTGTTGTTCCACACAAGGGCGCCGCCATCATCTTCCGAGAGACATATCAATTTTACTTTGTTAGGTCTGTTAGTATCCAAGGATCCGCGCAATAAAGTTACTTTTCCGAAAATATGTAAAATGTGATTCGAGAGAATGAAGAACAATAGCGTATTCATCTTCACTTTTTTCATTGTCAACGAAAATACACGTGCTATTTGTAAGACTAAAGGTCATCCGAATAAAAGTAAATAAAATAACGTAACAGAATAAATGTCTTATTAATTAGGTTGTTTCATAATGTGTCACTTTAAAAAAATTGATATCAAGTTGGATCTAAAGTAATAACAGTTGTGTCCATCGAGTATATATAAATGTAATCTGCATTAGTGAATCACTCTGATTTATTGGAAAACAGTAGTTTGTACTTTATTCACGACAATTCAATTTAAACAATTTGATAAATTAATAAGAGGATTAAATTTTTATTGAATTGTTTGATATTGTGTTCGTTTTACACTGTCCAGTCTGTAGGACAGGCAATAACTGGTAGAAAGGAACTTGACTTCCTTCTAGTAAATCCGCGATAACAGATTTCGTATCTATTAAATGTGCCTGACGCATCAGGAAACGACAATTCTACAGGATGTCTATATTATTTTTATATTATACATTATATATTAGAATAAATCAAACAATGCAGTCAATCGATGCTAGATATTACGTTATTAAAAAATTAAAATAGCATTAAAACAATAAATAATAATAATTAACAAGAACTTATAATTTATGAGATAGCACCTGCACGTTTGCATGTATAAATATAATTATCTTTTAATATTAATATTAATATTGTTATATTAATTTTGTAAAACTGCTTCATGCAATGATTATGATTATGATTATGACATAATAATGTTAATAAATACGCATGATTTATTTTGAATAATAGCTTTTAAAATATTCATATTTATGATAATATAAGAATCTCAATCGTTGTATGTATAATATGCACGCTAAATAAGCAAAACATTAAAATAAATTTTGGGAAATGTGTAGACATTAACAATGTTTCAAAGGAATTCATAAACTTTAACAAAATCAGATCTTAATTTAAGTACATGAACATTAGTCTTTATAAGCAGTATTATCTAGAATTTATAAACATTACATTAAGGTACTTGTAAACGGCAATAATTTATTTTTTATACGTATATATTTTAAATTTTTCGCTGAGATGTCATTTTGTATATTTTATTAAACAAAAGATTAACATTCGATTACTCGAAATTTCAAAAAGAATTAACTAGCTTTTATAAATATTTTTTGGAAAAATGATTGTGTGCTTTTCCATTCGCGGCACAACTTTTTGAAATATATTCTTAGTTCTTAGATAGTCTTCTCAGAACTCGTTTGGTTTTAATATTTAAAAAATAAAATGTTATTTTTCAACAATGACAAGAATGTACCAATAACATGTGCTTCTAAAATATTCAAGTATTATTGTTCGAAAGAAAGTAACGCCAAATATCATGATTTCTTATTCGGAAAGGTCTCTCTTTAAAAATTAAATAAACCATGATTAAATAAAACATCAGGATGTATTGTATTAAAAAACATTATAATTTTGAAATTTATTTAATTAGACTAACAATTATTTCTTTTTATCTGCCGCATTATTATCTGTTTAGTTCATATATATATCACTTACGACAGCTGTTCGAGCAATAAATGCGCTTTCTACGCTTTGATAATTCTTTGGCGAGCACTACCTGTTTCTTAGGCGATCCGGACATTATCAACATAGACTTGAGACCGCTTTCAATTGCCGAAATCGTATTCTATGGAGAAGGTTTATTCAAATATTCGGATTGTAATACGATATCATGGAATTTGTTAGGAAATTCCACCACGTGGTTTTTCTCCATCAAAGGGGATAGAACAGAGCTGCAATTTCTGTTTATTTTTTTGATTGCGTCAATTTTATAAAGAGTTTCATATCAGTAATTAATAAAGGGAGCTAATGATTTTTTTAAAATTTTTAATGTATATACTTAAGAAGCGTTTACAATATTTATATTATCATATATGTTTTATAAAATTATTATTTTTAACAGTTTTATCCAAACATTACAAACATTTAGTACTAATACATAACCGATGGATAGAAAGATAGAAAAAATAATTTGTGCGAATAATAAGATATATTATTCATATATTATCTTTAAGTATCTTATAGATTTTAAACAAGTAAAAAATTCATAACTCATTTCATAACTTTTCCTACAATAAATTAATATTATAAACTTTTTATAATATATTGGAATTTTTCGGAAATTTTCCACTTTATGCAAATAAATCCAGTAAATTAAACAGTATATTTGCATTGTTAGACGAATTGGTTACAAATACAAATTTGAATAAACATTCTATTTTTCAAAGAAAGATTTAATAAACATTTGCATATGGCAAAATATTTTACCGACTATCCTTAATTTATTTTTGCTGCTGTAGTTATCTAATCTAATTGAAGAGATTATGGTATGTTAAAAACATAATTTATATTTGGTATTATGTATAATTTGTTTCGTCTCGCATTATTTCATCAGTCAATTTTTTGCTTCTCTGCTTTTTTCTGTAAAAAGAAATCAAGTTGCAATAAAGCAGACATAAAATTAACCAGTTTCATTGAAATTTGAGTTGTGGTGTTAGCAAATAGTTTTCTAAAGTGTTTACGATAAATATTATAATAAATACCAATAGTATTGTTCTGACTTCTAAAAAGTAAAATAAAAAATATTACCTTCGGTACCAGTAAAAGGCTGCGCCTGCCTTAATAAGGATTACTATTAGATATAAAATGGCCTTTGCAAACATTCGGCTTTTTATCTCAGTGTTATATTTCGATGGTTGTAGTTGTGGAATCTCAATTTCCTGATGCGTAGCTTTTTCAATTGAAATAAGCTTTTCTTCGTAATCTTTCCATAGCGGTAGTTGTGGAAACTCAATTTTATAACGGACGGATTTTTCAAGCATGTTCAACTTATTATTAGTCTCAGCTATTTGCCAATCGCATGTACCGTTTGTCTTTTTGCAGCCATATGGATATGTATTACAAACTGAAAGTTTAAATATTATATGTTGAACTTTATATTTTGCATAAAATAGATATAGAATAAATAAATTAAAAATAAAATAAATATACAGATATATTGCTAACGGCAATATATTTCTATTTTTATTTTAGATATTATTTACATTTAAGGCAATTGTTTCCTGAAACACCCGTGCAACCATCTTCGTAACAAATTGTTTCTACACAGTTAGAGTTACTATTCAATTCAGATTCACAGGAAAATAAGCATTGCGGTCCAATTTTGGCTTGAGAACAGTTTGCGTCATCTGAGAAAATAATTACGTTTATTTTAAAATAATTAAATCTTCTTTAAAATAATTTCTCCAGCTTGCTATCCTAGAAATATTATCAGCAAAACTACAACGTTATTAACGTCAGTTACATAAAATAAATGACAATTACCCAAGTTTACATCTGGTTTCATGTTCAATAAATGATTCACGACGATATGTTCATCGTAAAATAATTTTTGACATGTCTCAATCGGCCAAAAGTAACCAATATGACTGTTCCAATCTTGATTAGAAATCATAATGCTCTTTCTCAAGGCTCCTGAAAGTAATAAAACAAGTTAAATACAAAAGAGATTAATTTATTAAAAGACTGTTACTTTTATAATTGTTTGATAAATGTACAAATTACGTAACTGATACCTAAGTAATATTAAAAAGATTCGGAATAAGAGAAATAAAAAATTACAAGAAACGTACCATTTTGGGGACATTGACGAACGTTCGCTATCGCCCACAACGGATTCGTGCTATTCTTATTCAGTTTAGGAATTAATTGGATTTTCATCTGACTATTATAATCAAACACTGAAAAGTTTCTCTTAATTTGAACAGATTGCCACATAGGTAAACCATGGGCC